GAGAGAGAGAGAGGAAGTTTGTGTAAAGATATTTTACATATCCCACATTCCTGCCAAGAAGTGCAAGATGAGTAGGACACATTTTCCAGTTCTAAGAATATTTAATGCAATGTTTTTACAACAGCTGTTGCTTTTGCAGAACTTTAACCTTGCTGCACAAATTCATGACAAGGAAAATACTCTGTTGTCTTGGATACGGTCTTCACACACATCCCCTTTTCTCAGCTGGCCGATATCAGCTTTCAGCCTCAGAGGCATTCCAGTCTTGCATCCAGGATCAGGGCTGCTCTAGTCTGCACAAACTTCATTAGAGGTCCTAATTACAGATAGCATTGGAATCTGCAGCAATTGCTCTCCTTGTGTTGGAGCAGTTTCTATCAACACACCTGATGAGAGAATGGCAAAATTAATTTCAGGGGATGGTTGAGGAAAGGATATTCATCAGGCCTCCTTGACATCCTCTCCTTTGTTTCCTTCTTGTCTAGCCAGATGCTTTAAGTCTTGCTAAATTTGGACCAATTTATTGTCCTTTCCAAAGAGAATTATATTACCTCTGACATTTGAAAGGCTGCCCATGGTATCCTGTGACAAATAGCTGTGGAGCAGAATGAGGAAACTTTTGGCTCTCTTTAGGACTCATCATTTGTTTTTCACAATGCTTTCAGACACTTTAGTTTTTCCAATAGTGTTTTGCAACTTTATATGAGTTGTTGTAGGGAAATGTAAAGAACTGGTCTACTAGGCTCCCCTCTTTTTATTATTCATATGTGGCATCTCTAAGCAACTTATGAACAATGAGAAGGCCTCTGCCTTCAGTATTCAAAGACTGAGCTATGTTCATCTGAGAAATCAGTATGCAAAGCAATCTTGTAGCACCTTTGAGACTAAACTGAAAGATAAAAGTTGGGAGCATGAGCTTTTGTAAACTTGAGCCTATTTCCTCAGATGCATTTGGTCTGCCTTAAGCAGTTCTTCATGCCTGTAGAACATAATGAAATCAAGGGAACACAGACATGCACCATAGAGAAGAACCATAGAGTTTATGAGTTGGGAAAATCAATTTGCTTCCTTCATTGGGCAATCCAGTGGCAGATAGTAGCTTCCATTTCTGCAAGCCAATGAATCTGGAGTCTGATCTGAACTTTTAAAAAAGTTGCCCAAGATGCTGAACATACTTTAGAAACAGGATTCTGCACTTTGGATGGCTCATCCAAAGTTCTTACTGCTCCCACTGTCTTGGAAACCACTAGTCACCACCAGACCAACCCTATACCCAGGAACTGTTACAAAGTATAGGGTTGAACACAAGGATCTTACAAGGCAATATCATCTTCATTTGGTCTTGAACTGTCTATTAGTGGTGTCACTGGGGGAGGGCAGTGAATGTGGCTCACACCAGGTGACACCATCAGAGGGGGTGACACTAGGCAGCAGCAAGGCCCCTTTCCCAGAAAGAAAGGGGGACTTTTCTGGGCATGCCACTTCCCTTTGTGGGGCTGAGGGCAGGAATGAGTTTGCAGACCTTCTCTCTTCTTCCTTCTCCTGCAGTCTCTCACTCTTGTTCTGTTTGGCTCTTCTCTGCCGCTGTCTTCAGAGGGGCCTTTGCTCTGACTTCCTCTTTCTTTAGGGTAGAGATCTTTTGTAATTAAACTCTTCTTGTTCCAGGAGATGTCCCATCTTTGTTGTCTCATCTGAGGAAGAATGGCAGTGGCATGATGCTGGGTTCTCTGGGTTGAAACCCTCCTTCCCATCTGCAACTTCATCCCAGGAAGTCCACTGGATGAGTTACCATACTGGGTGCCACCTACCTTAATAACACCATTGTTTTCTGTGAGCCAACCAGCCAGAACTGTTCCAGCCATTACCTGCATGCACGCGCACGCACACACACTGCAAAAATCACAACATGGCACATTTATTTGTTTTGGGGTTGGGGCTGTTGAGAAGAATAGAGATGACAACAAGCTCCCTGGCTGTTTTCTGTGCCATATCAATGGGTGGCAGCATCCTATAGGGCAAAGGGGAAGTGTGGCCCTCCAGATGTTGCTGGATTGCAATACTCATTATCCTTCAGTATTGTGAGGGCTGACTTGGGAACTGCTTTCCTCCAAGACATGTAGGGAGCCACATTTTCCCTGGTCCTGCTTTTGGGACAGCAAGGTCTGTCCCCCTCCATTACACCTTATGTGCAAATGATGTGACTATTCATCAAGAGCACAGATAATACAGTGGTGGTGGTGGGGAAACACAATTGAAATGCTTTCTTTTCTTTCTTTCTTTCTTTCTTTCTTTCTTTCTTTCTTTCT